CTCCCAGGACCGCGACCCCGGCCGCCCCGCGATGACCGCGACCGCAGCCCTCCTGCCCGTCCTCTTGCTCCTGCTGGCCTTCGGCCGCAGTGCCCATGGTGAGACCCCCGGCGGCCCGGCTCGCGCCCCCTCTGGGGAAGCCTGCGACGCCCCCCGGCCGCCCGCTGCCCCGCGCGCCCCGTCCCATGCGCCCCAACTCCCGCCCGTCCTGCCTAACCCTAAGCCCTGCGCCGTGCCTGCCTCGCCCTCCCCGCCACCCTCGCATGGCAAGCCTGGCCCTGGGGTCCCGGGGGCAGGGGAGGTGTGTGACCTCCTGCCCCTTCCTGCGCCGCAGAAGTAGCCTTCGCAGGGGTGTCGGTGCGCTGAGAGAGGAGGTATGGAGAAACGAGATGATGCTGGGGAGTCCTGTGTGAAAATGCTCTGGGGGGCAACTTTGGGGTGCCCTGTGCGCGTTCGGGAACAGGTCTCTGGGGGCACTGGGGGTGACTTGGCTGTCGTGGACGCAAATTCCCAACCAGGAGCCCAGCCTGAGCCCTTCCTGCGTCGTCGTGTGTCTCTAGGTGAGGGGCTGCGACACTTCTGTCTGCAGCGGCTATCCGTCTCTGACAGTGAGAGAGTTGCCCCCTTCCCGCAGTGCCCCCCGCCCCCATTGCACCAGTGGTTATGGGGGGGCTGTTTTGAAGGCTGGAGAGCGAGTTGTAGTAAATGCACACAGTAGGCGCCTATTAAAGTGTTGGAATCTCTAAACAGTGTTGGAATTGCTGCCCGCTTTGCAAAACCATTGCGTGTCTTTTGTATATGAAGTCTGGGGTAGGGGAGGTTGGGGAATGTGACCTGGGTGCCTGGTTTAACTGGGATTAACCTTTAAAAAAACGCAGACGCTCACCTGTGAGCCCGCCAGGTGAACCTGTCTGGGCTCTCTCATAGCCGAATACCTCAAAATCTGCTCCCCTTTTAGCTCACTTTGCAAAAGTGAGGGTTTGGCTGAGTGCCCCGGGGTCAAAATCTTGCCATCCACCATCTCCACATCCCCACTCTTAGAATTTGACGTTTCGTATTTTTTGGGGGGGAAATTAGGTGTCTTGACCTGCTCTTAGGAACGGGGCAGAGTACTGTCGTCACTCCATAACCAGGAACATGGCAAAAATTTTTCTCCTGAGTGGGTTGATATGAAGTGCCTACTGTGTGCCGGGTGGCCGCAGAGGGTGGTCAGCTCCCCTGGGAGGCCGGGGGCTGTCTGGGGGAAGACGTACTTTGCCTTGGCCTCTGGAGCCCTGCGGAGTGAATGGTGTAACCTTTCTTGTGCCTCAGGAGCTGAATGCTTCCCGGCCTGCCACCCCCAAAATGGATTCTGCGAGGATGACAATGTTTGCAGGTAATGGAGGGGCTCCCCAGAGGCAGCTTTGGGGGCCAGAATCCTGGGCAGTCATGGTGTCAGGCAGAAAAAAATGGGGGGGCCTTGGCCACTGGGCTGCAGACAACAGCTTCCTCCCCACCACAGGAAACTGGTGGGAGGAGTGAGGGGGAGAAGAGCACAGGGGTGGGGGACAGCCACAGCTCCTGTCTGCATTTTCAGAAGTGGGGTGGCAGGAGAGCCCCTTGTAGGGTGAGACCACTGTAGGCCACTGCGGCAAAACGCAGCACGCTCTGGGGCTCTCAGGGACCCCTCTGTCTGCTCTGTTCAACTTTTCCATTCAGGTGACTGGTATTTGCTTCCTGGGACCCACTGGCCTGGCACTGTGCAAAGACCCCCAAGGGCTCTTGGTTTCGCAGAAAGCAGCCTGAGCTCCCCCTCCACCCCTGCCCCTCCTCATATGTCCTCATCACCCCTCCTCCCCCCGCAGGTGCCAGCCTGGCTGGCAGGGTCCCTTCTGTGACCAATGTGTGACCTTTCCCGGCTGTGAACATGGACTGTGTGTGGAACCCTGGCAGTGCATTTGCGACGACGGCTGGGACGGAAACCTCTGCGACATAGGTTGGCACGTGCCCTTGCCCCCCCCCGCCCCTCTGCTCTCAGCCCCATGGCTGCCTCCCCTCCCCCTCCCGCCTTATCCCCACACACCCAGAGCTCTGTATGGTAACGATCTGTTTATACACTTCCTGCTGGTGCCAGGAGCCTCCCCACAGGTAGGAACTTAATGTGCTCCCCTCTGCACCACACCAGCCCCAGAGAAGGCCCTGGGGGTGGTGGTGGGGATGCCAGGGAGCTGCCTGTTGAATAAAGAGTCACAAAATAAACATACGCCACACAGAGCTGAGTGGGTGGGGACCACAGACCTGTCCAGACTCCGGAAGTCATGGAGCTAAGACTCCAAGAAATTCACACGCGAGGCTGTTAAGGAGGCCGCAAGAACGAAGGCAACACACACACACACCCGCCCCGCGGAGGAGAGGGAGCAGGAGCTGGGTCGGGACCACCAGGCCAGGGCTGGGGGCTGTGACTGAAGAGGTTGGGTGTAGGCAGAGGAGGGGGTTGGGGAAAGCTGAGACCATGGTTAAAGTGTAGATTGGTGTTATCTGTTGATTTCATTAATTTATGTAATCTTTGTCCTCCATTACCCTGAGCAATGGAGAGTTGGCTGTGGCTGCGTTTTCGGGCTGCAAAATGTTCGTCTGAGCCCATTCTCATTTGGCGAAACCTGCCCTGAAGCCCCAGCAAACTCAAGTCCTCGAAAAAACTTGCAGCAGCGTAGGCAGCTGCCATGGGGCCTCTGTCCCTGGGTGCCCAGTGTTAGCAGAGATGAGTGGTACCAATAGGGAAACTGAGGCTCAGGGAGTAAAAGGGTCTTCCCAAGGACACATAAGATGTAGGAGAAAAGCCAGCTAAAAACCCCTCCTCTGGCCCCAGGAATGGGTTCCACCTCATCTGCTGTTGTTTCCCTTAAGGAAAACCTAAGAACGTGTTGTTATCACCCCTGCCCCATAGAGCCAAGGCAGTGGGCTTTCAAAATCAAGCCCCCCCACCTTGTCTCGGGTCCCCCCCAGATATGCAGGGTTTTACCGCAGCTGACTCATGCTCTGGCCCTCAGCACAGCACCCTCGCAGGACCTCTGAGCTGATTTGGGACTCCAGGAATCCCAAAAAAGGCACTATTTGGGATCAGGGCTTCTAGCCTAGACCCCTTCCCCTTTGGTATCTAAGCACAGGACTCCCCCATGGAATTTTCCAGACCAAGGGTCCCCTCCCCACTGGGTTGACAGCGGCTCTCAGTGTGGGACAGTTGAGTCCAGAGGAAACAGCCCTCTGGGTAACTGAGGCCCCTCTCCCTGTTTGCCCATCTTTGAGGCTGTCATAGCCACAGCTGCTGTCCCCGCAGGGACCCTGGCAGCTTTGTCCTGCGGAGGTTTAATCCACCCGACTTTGTAGGTTGGAGGCCCAGGAGGGGAAAGGTGGGCTGATCCTCGCTCACAAGGCTGACTGTGCAGGGAGAGTGGTGGGGTGGTCGCCAGCTCTTTAGCTTATGTGTGAGATTCTGAGTGACAGGAGAGCCGGGAGCAGAGAATTAGGAGCCTGCTGCGGAAGCCCCGCGTGCTGACGCTCCAATGGCACCTGCCCGTAAAGATAGATCCTCTTTATGTTTCCTCGCACCGAGCGGGCTCCCAGGGAATGCCTCGTGGGCTCAGGATGGGCCATCAGCCGAGGATTTTCCTTACTGATTGATTGCCATCTCCCCTCCATGAAGATGTGGGTCTCTTTAAAAGAGGGAAGGAACCTGTACATGTGTGGCCTCAGCACTGGGGGCCCTTCCCAAGTCTGCCTTAATTTGCAGCGTCTCTGGTTGGCCCTGGCTTTTTATTTGGCAGGTGTGGCAGCTGGAATCATAGAGGACGAAAGCTCAAAGGTCCCTCTGAGATGGCCAGGGAGAGCCCCTTCTTTTATAAGTGGGGAAACTGAGGCACAGAATGGAGGGAGCTGGCCTATGCAGCTGGCTGGAGATGGGCGCAGAGAAAGTCCCTCCCTGGCCCTGCCTGGGGGCTGGGGTCTCCACCGTCAGAGAGCTCCTGGCCCAGGCCCCTTTGTTCAGCTCGTCCCTGGCTTGCTGAGCCCCGGATAATGAAGTGTGCATGTCGGGAGGTGTAAAAGGGCGGTGGAAATATACTGGTGTTCATGGAAACCCACGCTGACAGGCGAGCGCTCAATAGTTCTGATATTGCTGCCTTCCAAAGATGCAGCCTTTTTATCACGGACCCCCTTCGTTCAGACCCGAGAGCAGAGAGAGAGACCCCCAGGAGGTGGAGGCAGTGCTGCAGTAAGTCAGGCTTCTCGATGCCCACCGGGGGTCTTTGCATCTCGATTTCCCCCCGCCCTCTGGGATGGAGAAGTCTGAAGGGCAGCTGATGTTTCTAACAGTTGGGCCGCACTCGTCCCCGAGTGGCAGGGACCCCCGCCAGACGTGAGAAGCTGGGTGTGAGAACTCGTCTGGAGGAGGCAGGCCTGAGGGAATCTCAGCTCTGCCGCGCTGTTTTGGGGGAGGGGAGGGGTCTGCAGTGAAGGTCACGCTGCTGGACTGGAGGGCTGAAAGAGGACAGCTGTCCTGGGTTGCGTCTCAGTGAGCGGCCGTCACTTCTGTCTCCGTGACCTGACACAGGGAGGCCCCTTCAGCTCCCTGAGCTATTTACTTCCTTCAGGGTTTTGGGTCACTACACCCTCTTACTCAGGACCCCACTTGGTGACCATTTGCAGTGACCACAAGCAGAGACATCTAGGCAGCTCACTTGGGGTCCCCTGCCCCCACCCAGGAAGCTCTCCTTCCAGCCTCTGTCCCCCCACTTCCCTGGAGGAGAGGGTAACAAGGGCTGGTTTTCTCTCCCCGCCAGACATCCGGGCCTGCACCTCGACCCCCTGCGCTAACAACGGGACCTGCATGAACCTCGATAATGGCCACTACGAGTGCTCCTGTGCCCCTGGGTTCTCGGGACAGGACTGTCAGAAGAAGGACGGGCCGTGCGTGATCAACGGGTAAATATTCTCTCCCACTATGTGTGAACTGATGAATGCTGCTTTTGATTTCTGCTTCACGCTCCCTAAAGACCCTTTCAGCCTCACCCAGTGGGACCTGTCGCCTGACAAAAGACTCCTCCCGCAGCCCCATGGGGGGCCGCCCTAGATCAGGGTATTTATGGGGGAATGTGTCATTTCCATAATTTTTTCAAATGATCCTGAAGGCGATTTCATATTCCCCTGACGTTCCCGAGTCCTGATGTGTGTGAGTGACAGTGGATCGGGGCTGTGAATCGGAGCTCGGAGCTGCATAATTTTCTAAAGACGACAACATAATAAGAGATCAGAGTTCAGCAGGCTGTTTGTGAAACCCACTCACCATATTTTAGGGGGTGGTTTGGGGGAACTGGCAGGCTCTGTGGTTGGGTTTTCTGGGCTGTCTTAGGAGGGAGCTGCTAGGCTGAGGAGTGGGGAGATGGGGCTGCGGCCGGCTTGCGGGGGCCTCAGCCATAAGGGCAGGGGGTTAGGGTCCAGCTCTCAGCTACCCTCAGTGGGGAGGGGCTCTGGGACGTCAGGACAGTGGGCCCAACAGACAGAATGGCTGCTTGCCTCTCTTGCGCCTCCTGGGGCAGCGCTGTCTAGCACCTTCAGCATTTCCGGCCCTTATCTGCTTAGCTGCGCTGAGCCCTGCCCCCCGCCAATGGGGCTTCAGCGGAGTCCAGGAGAGATCTTGACAGAGACAAGAATTCAAACTAGGACCCGGGCCTGGACCGGGGGGCACCCCTTCCCATGAGGAAACAGCAGCTAAAATGCAAAAGAAGCTTATCTTGACCTGGCCTTCCCGGGTGGCGCAGAGAACCAGGCGTTGGAAGATCGGTATTCAGCGGGGGTCAGAGGACAGGGGTGACAGCCCAACTCCATTGCTCCTTATTAGCAGGAAGGGGAAGTCCAGAGCAAGACCTTTAAAATATTTTGCTTTTCTCTCTAACAGACTTGAACCAGTTTGTCAAAATAGAGCCCAGGGGTCCTTGAAATTCCTTCCGAGCCCAGCTCCTCTTCAGCCCTTGCCCCTGACGCAGCCATGCTGATTTCTCGTGCTCAGGGCCCCTTTCTTCCCTGGAGTTTTGGCATTTATCAGATGACAAAGGGGCTTGCTTGTTTAAAAGCACTTACGTTAAATGCTCCATGTGCTCCGCTTAGAGCAAACAGCTTCAGTCTGCCAGCCGCACTCGGGTGAATGGGCCACTATTAAACAGCCGGGCACAGGCGCTGGCTCGAGCCAGCACAGGGAGACCTCAGATTTCTTTCACTCTGAGAGTCCCCAAGTGTTTCTCACACAATAGCCTGCAGGCTCACTCCGCCGAAAATAAAAATAATAATAAGGGGCGATGGTGGTGGTGGTGGGAGAGAGTAAGTGATACCCCGCGTGGCTCTGCCGCAGCGGCCCAGGGACGGGGCTGAGGGAAGGGGCTCGCTCCAGCCCTGCGTTATTACTAACTTTGCCTTCTCAGCCTCAGTTTCCCCACTTGTCTAGTGAATGACCCTCAGTCCTCTGGTATGAGAGATGACATAAGAGGTGGGAGAGGAGACGGGCATCCTGGCCTGGGAGGTCAGGCATGTTCCAGGTTGGCAGCCTGATGGGGGTGAGGTGTGCACCCACTATTGGACAGCCTGTGGGCCCCTCCAGGCAGGGGTCACAGTGCCTGCCCCTCCCTGGGCCTCCCTGGCGCTCACTCACTCAGCAGTGTGTTCTGAGCACCTGCCCTTTCGTCAGGCCCGGGGAGGTTGGCGAGGGGACCCCAGTGCTGTCCTGGCCCAGCCGCCGAGGGCCCTTTACCGTGTCGCCTGTTGTTACAGTTCCCCCTGCCAGCACGGAGGCACCTGCGTGGACGACGAGGGCCGGGCCTCCCACGCCTCCTGCCTGTGCCCTCCTGGCTTCTCAGGCAACTTCTGCGAGATCGTGGCCAACAGCTGCACCCCCAACCCGTGCGAGAACCAAGGCATCTGCACCGACATCGGGGGCGACTTCCGCTGCCGCTGCCCCACTGGCTTCGTGGACAAGACCTGCAGCCGCCCGGTGACCAACTGTGCCTCCGACCCGTGCCTGAACGGGGGCACCTGCCTGCAGCACAGCCAGGTGAGGTACGAGTGTCTGTGTAAGCCTGAGTTCACGGGCCCCATCTGTGGCAAGAAGCGCGCGCAGAACCCCCAGCAGGTCACCCGTCTGCCCAGCGGTTACGGGCTGACCTACCGCCTGACCCCCGGGGTGCACGAGCTGCCCGTGCCGCAGCCCGAGCACCGCATCCTCAAGGTGTCCATGAAGGAGCTCAACAAGAGCACCCCACTCCTCTCCGAGGGCCAGGCTATCTGCTTCACCATCCTGGGCGTGCTGACCAGCCTGGTGGTCCTGGGCACCATGGGCATCGTCTTCCTCAACAAGTGCGAGGCCTGGGTGTCCAACCTGCGCTACCAGCACATGCTTCGCAAGAAGAAGAACCTCCTCCTGCAGTACAACAGCGGCGAGGACCTGGCCGTCAACATCATCTTCCCCGAGAAGATCGACATGACCACCTTCAGCAAGGAGGCTGGCGACGAGGAGATCTAAGCAGCGTTCCCACTGGCCCCCCTATATCCTCGGGGTCCCGCAGAGCTCACCCCATGCGGTCTGTTCTCGTCTTTGTGGTGGAATTTGCTCTCTTTTGTTCCATCCCTGGTGAACGCTGTGCTTACCTCTGCTCTCTCTGTGTCGCTGTGTGACAAACGCAATGCCAGAAGAATCTTCCCTCTCTCTCTTAATGCATGATAAAAAAATAATAAGAATTTCATCCTTAAACAAGTAAATGAAATAAGTATGTTATTCTAAACTCTAAAATCAAAAAAGACCAAAAAAAAAACAAGGCAACCCGAACCAGGATGCCGTGCCGACGCCCCTCTCCGGGGGGGTCTCGGCCACGGGGTCCTCGTGAAACCGTTACGAGTCTGTGCGTGACCAGCCACTGTGAAAAGGGCCGAACTCTTTTCGTTCGTTAATTCTCACATGCCACATCCGACTCGCACTCACGTCAAGTCCCGCACCGCAACCCTTAGATCTTTCCGGTAGATTGGAGATTTTGCGGAGTGCAGCGGCCGTGTGTCAGGCAGAGAGAGCCCCGGGTTGGCTGCTGGGGGGCTGGAACCCCGTCCCAGCCCTGCCACTAACTCGCTGTGTGATCCTTGGCGAGTCCCCCCCTACCCGGGCCCACCTTTTCGCCCCTCTTGAGGGAGGGGTTGAACCCAGTGAACATCAAGGTCCTCTCTTGCCCTAAAAGTCTGAATTAGGAACGAGGGGGTATGAACCGAGACGGTTCCTGACCCTGAAAATGAGGGTCCGAGGATGACTAAGTCTCGTCCTGGGATCCGAAGGCTTTGGCCTATCCTGGATGCACACTTGACCATTTGAAATCGATTCTGACTGCATTTCTCAAAGCGGGGAGCCTCCTGGCCCACTTCCCGTTTGGAAACGATGGCCCCCTTTGAGTCACAATGTGCAGTCTGGAGTTGAGTTGCCGTCTGGGCAGCCCACCCCCCGTCCCCCACCCAGTGCCCCAGCACTACACCTTCGTCCCCCCCTCTAGATTAGAGATGTCCCTTGAAATTTAAATGCACCTCGAACCGCAAGTGCCCCTGGCAAAATCTGAGCAGCAACACAGCCCTCACCAAGGTTTTCACAGGGTTTAGTGGAAATTGTTGCTTGTGGGGCATTTTCTAGTTGTGTAGCCAGAGAGGCACCAGACTGGCCTACACAGCCATGGATTCCCTATGTGTTGCTGAGTTAACCCTCAGATCCCTAGAGACCTAGCCAGCTTCTGAATTGTGAATTTGAGGTTTTTTAAAAGAGGATCTATCTTTTTTGCAAAACTAGAAGGAAATGGGACAGAGTTCTGTTTAGCTTCTCAGCTCTCAGAGTGGGGCAGCTGAACAGCCCTTGGGTGCCCGTCAGGAATATTTTGCTTCTTAAATTATTTGGATAAGAATTTATACTCTTAGCTTTAGTGAGTCTTACCTGCACTGTTTACCTTACTCCAAGAGTCTGTGTCTCAGTCGTCGTCATCTTCATCATCTCGGTCATTCCACTCACTCCACACACAGACACATGCGTCACCGTCATCACGGCCATTGACCTCATCACCCCATTGCCACCTGACCACCACTCAAGGCCCTTGTCATCCTGATTCAAAGTCTGACTGCCATCTCCCCCACGCTCCTGATACCCCTACCCAAGCCACTGAGCCCATCACTCCTGGTTCTTTCTCACGCCGAGCCTGTCCCACCCTTACTCCTGAGTCCCGTATCACCCACATCCCGAGCCCCTCCCACCCTCCCCCCAAATCCCTCCGTTTACCCCCACCCTTCCTCACCCTCCTCCCCATAGTTCACCCTCAATCCCCAAACCCTGTCATCCTCGCTCGCCGCCATAGTCACCACTGCCAAGCCCCCTCCCACCCCAAGCTCCTGTTGTCCCCCGCCTGCCCCTCCCCCTGACTCCCCCAGCCCCTCTGACACCCCTTGCCCCAAGTCCCTCCCCCTCCCCCAAGTCATTTGAGTCATCATCTCATCTCATTTTGAGTTCATTTTAAGAAATAAAAACTTAAAAAAGACAAAAAAAAAGAACTGTTGGCAGTGTCGGGCGGACGTCTGGTACGCCGCCCGGCCCCTCTCGCGTGAGACCTTGATCGAGACAGCTAACGGTTCTGATCCTCAGTTTCCCCCAACGTGAAATTCTAAGATTGGACGAAATGATCAAATTCTCTGCTCCACTTTTTCGAGCTCCGGGCTGTGGAGAACAGCCATCTCCTCTGATGACAAGGAAACGACATCCCACTGTCCATCCATCCTTGACCCACTCCTCATCGGTTCATGGATCCATCCACCATTTGCTGGATCAGGGAGCATTTTCCAGCACCTGCTGAGTGCAAGGCAGTGTGCGGGGAGCTGCGGGCCACGCAGGATGAGGGGGCAGTCGGGAGGGGAGCGGGCACGCAGGTGTCCCCAAGAAGCCCAACGCAGTGCAGGTTCAATACCGTGGGAGCGGAGGGTCCGAAATGGATGCCTCCCTTAAAGCCCGACCATCTCACCTTCCCACGTGACAAATTACCTACACCCGCACTCGATGAGGCCGCCCCGCCCAAATTCCACCACGCCACCTGCACGCATCCTGTGCGATCAGAACAGTGTCAGCAGCCTCGCCACGGTCTTCACGTCACGCAGAAATGGTCCATTCCATCCTCTATGGGGTAACCAGATTCTGCTGAGAGTGTCGGGACTTTTGCCTGCCCATCCGCACCCCGGTGTGTTTGGAGTAGTGTGTAGTTTACGAATCGAACGGAGAAGCTCAAAGACAGCTGTCTGAGACATGAATGCCAATTCGGTCCCAAATTTGAGAGAGGAGAAGGCGTGGCGATCATTTTGTGACCCAAAAATTTCAAACATGTCAATGACGCTCTTTTTAGCTTTCCCGTTTACTAAAGCCAGGCAATGCAAAAAATTTTGTTTATTGAAAAATAAACAAAAACCAAGGGCTATTGGTGTGTTTGCTTGATTTGTGATGCGCCGGGCTACACTCGTCCCTTCTCGCTGGTGGCCTTTGACGCGGGCAGGAGGGGTCAGGGGCCCATGCCTTGGAGGGCCCTGCTCTGGCCCCATCCAGACCTTCCCGTGTGGCAAGAAGGCGACCCAGCCTCCTCCAGACCACATTCTGAGTGCTGGGAGCACAGGAATTTCCTGCCCTGTTGGTCCTGAGACCGCCTTGGGGGCCCGCACAGCCCTCGTCCCTGTGTCTGTCTGTCTGTCTCCTGATGGGTGGCTGATTGTGGGTTGTGTGGATGGAGCTGGGATGTGAGGGTGAGGGGCGCGGGGGTGCAGGGTCCCACATATGAGCACACGAGGTCCCCCTCAGCAGAGCCGAGGGCCAGCTCTCCTACATGCCAGGTTCCAGCCCAGAACTCCTGGGGGGTCCGAGAATTCTACGCTGGCCCCGGGCCTTCCAGCACCTAGTGAAGGTGGAATCGCCCTGGTGAGAGAGCAGAACAGGTTTTGTATGATAGTTAGGGGGACTTGGAGCCTTTTAAATGTTGACACATCAGGTATATGAGCCCCATTTATACTCTTGACTCTACGGGATGGGAGGGACCTACCTCTCTTCCGGCCCTGGGCCCCGGGCCCCAAGCGTGTACGCTCAGTGCAGTAAACCCACCCTTTGAGTTCCCGTGGAGTGCCTGACACTGCGTGTGCCCACCCAGAGGGGTCAACCAGAGCCCCCCTGCACCAGGGCAAAGGAGCCTCAGTCCAGCCCCTTATCCCTGCTGGCCCATGAGGTGGCCCTGGGGTGGGGTCCCCTCTCCACTTCCTCCACAGCCTGTCTCTCCTTTCGTGGACTCTCTTCCGCCAGGTCACTGCCACCACCCACCCAGCTGCCCAGCCAGGACCTGGGCGTCCCTCAGACTCCTCCCTCCTCGGCCCTCTCTTCCCTCTGTGCTGCTCCCATCTCCCGCCTGTCCCCCCTGGCTCAGCGGGCTGGGGGGCCGTTCTCGTCAACGCAGTGGAACACACGAGGGACAAGCGTGGGGACGACCAGAGATGGATGCTGTTCTGAAAACCATAAGAAAAGTAGATGACAATGTTGAGATAACAAATGTAGAAACTTCTATGAAAGGGTTGAGTTTTCTAGGAAAATATTAATTACCAAAATTCCTCAATGCAGCCAGCAGGAATAGAGCACTTCCCTGGGAGAAGACCTCACCGTGGGCCAGCTGGCTGCTTCTTAACTCGGGGTCCAGAACCCCTGACCTTTGACGGAACAGGGGGCACCCAGGCTAGAGACTCGGTTCCAGAGCAAAGAAAAAGAAAAGATGAAGGTCTGTCCTTTCTTTTTTCAAAGCTAGGAGAAGCCTAACACTAAAATCTGACAAAGACAACAAAAGGAAAGTCCCTGTCCTCATCCCTGAGAAACAAAACCTTCAATAAAATAACAAATCGAAAACAGGCAAATATAAAAACAAAATCATGACCAAGTAGATCCTTTTCTGGGAAAGCAAGTATAATTTAATATTAATAAACATATTCATAGACAGTGAGCCCTGGAGTGGTCCAGAGGGAGGAAACAATGATGGATCACTAGAGTCACTTTTAGCCAACTCTGGGGTCAGGAAGGTGACCTTGGCGAAGAAACCCAGACGGAAGATCCTGCCAGCATGAGGGCCACCACCCCCCACAGCGGGCAGTGGGGCAGCCGTGGCTGATGGGCTGGGTTGGCAGGGGTGAGGGGAGGTTGAAAAAGGGAGCCTAGACTTAGGAAGTAGGATGCCATGGGGTGGGAGGGGACTGGGCTGCTGTAGTGTCGGGAGTGAGGAGTGCTCAGTGCTGGGTGGTCCTGGCCCTGAGGGCCCAAGGATAGGGAAGGCCCGGAGACAGGGTGGGTAGGGGTGAGGGTGGGGCGCATGCACCAGGAGGGACTGTTGTTGTGAGGGGCCCTTGCATGGTGTCTGGAGCCCAGGAACCAGCCAAGGAAAGTACCCAGTGAACCCTAAGTGGAGGAAGAGACATGAGCTGCACATGGAGGGAGCAGACAGGTGGAAGTTTCCTGAAGGAGAGAGAGAAGGAGGGAGGAGACAGCTGGACAGAGCATAAAGAGGCAGGTGGGCTCCATGGGCCCAGTCCAGGCTCCCAGCACAGAGCAGCCCACAGGGCAGCCTCAGGAGGAGCTCAGTTCCACAGCAACCCAGGCACCCGGGTCAGGGGGTGTCTGCAAAGCCAACTACAGACAGTGATACACTAATGATTTCCAGCCCGTGGCTT